CTCAGATGGAAAGGGTGTTGAGCTCCTGACCAGAAGGTCCTGCGTTCAATCCCAGGTAGGGGCAAGCAATGAACTGTAGCAAAGACCAGCCTCTGGAGAAGCATGAGGAGGATGGAACCAAGGATGGAGCTGGGCCAGCAGAGATGTGCCAGACTTTCCTCTTCAGTTTTGGAATCCTCCAGTTGGCACAGCCCTGGGCAAAGCTCTCCGCCAGAGCATGAGGGAACTGGAAACCAGAAAGGGCTTCACAGAGCAGCGAAGACGTCAATGCCAGACTGCCAAGCAGAGCACCTGCTATAGTGAAAGCACCCACTAAAGCCACGTGCTTTGCATCAGCTGTCTCACGGTGATCAAGGCAGAGCAAACTTATGGCCTCTGGCCACTGAAACTGCAGCATACTCTATCACAAAGACAATGATGCCAGCTGATTCAAATAACATCTCTACTCCATTTTAGTTAGGATTTAAAGGGGAACTGCAATGCTTTTTTTGTATTTTGGGGTTAGAAAGAATCAGCATTAAAAAGTGCATTTTAAACCACAGTAACAGTAAAATGTACACAGTAACTTGTAAAACCTCCAATTTACATCACAAAATAGATATAATTTGCAGGTACACATAGTAATTCGTGGAAACTGGAATGTGTGTTTGTGACAACGTGGTGACTTACAATACTTTCAGAAAGTTCACAATTTTGATCTTAACTGAAAATTCAAAATTTGTTTTTTTTTTTTGTAATGTCATTGAATTAATTTTATTGTTGGGATTTATAATCCAGTCTGAAAAATTGGGACTGCAGTTTCCCTTTAACAGAATTACCAAATCAGGATTTTAAACTGAAATTTAAACAACGTTTTGGGAGGAGGTCAAACCCTAATCTCACCCACTTGTGCTTACTTTCATATAAAAAGTAATGATTCAGGTTAACCCACTTGCATGTTTCATTCTACTGTACATCCCACTCCCAAGCCATGCAGCAGCTTCTTGGCTCATTCCTCTTCAAGGGTTGGGGGATTCCTACAGGCGAGTCCTCTTGGACAGGATATAATTCTCTCAGCCAAGCAAACTCTACCTCTACTCCATCTTAATTAGCATTTAACTAAATGACTGAAAGATATAAGAATTCCTGAGAAAGCGACAGAAAAATGTATTACAGAAGAAGTTAAAATAATACATTTGCACTGCCATAATGGTACACCAACTATAAAAAATGTCTATAATTTCACAGTAATAAAGGATTCATACTGAAAAAGAATATTGAAGTGCTAAATGAATATTTCAAGCAGACATTTACAACAGAAGATGTCAATAACATGCCCCAGGTTACAGATTGAGCTCCATCAGGATGGGGTAATTTTAGTTTAACTGGCAATGAGGCACTACAGGAACTAGGATGGCTGAAAGAAGATTCATCACTGGTGGTTATTTCCCAGTTGTACTTAAAAAAATGAAGGCTGTTTTGAGCTATTTCATTCTTAATATTTTTCTGCTTGTCCTCTGACATACTCTAGTCCTGAGAAGCTTTGGCTAATGACGTTTAGAATGATGCATTGGTTTCACGTTCAGGATAAAATAATGGTACCTCTTTATAAATAAGATAGCATTGCCAAATTGTGACCAATTTTTATTTAATTCATTCATTTTAGCAGATGCCAATACCTGACATAGTTTGAACTTATGTAGTGAAAATACTACAGGTGCTATTCACAGACCTTGCTACATTGCTTAAGGAATGAGGAAGGCCTAATGACATGACAGGTTCAAGTGGGGAGCTATGTGAGGGTGCAAGCAGCAAACAATTCCACTCTGCAAAGCAGGGAGAAGGAACAACATCCTGACTGGGGAGGTGTGCTTGAAAGAGGCTTCACAGCAGAAATGTTGTTTTTCCTTCATTCATTCTACTTTTCACCAAGTAATTGAACTCTACTTGATTATAGCTTTAAAGCCAGGTTCACCTTCAAGAACCCTCAGGAATAAACAACGAACCCCACTGATTCCTGGCCTTTCTCAAGCTGAAAGTAAACCGGAGCATCGGTGTGTGTCTGTGAGTAATCTGTGGGCGATCTGACGTTTTATCTCGGGGCCGGATCAGCTGTTGACAGAGTGACAGAGCAACAGGAGGCATGGAGGAGACTAGGGTGTGGGAGTGGCAGGAGATGATGTTGTGGAGGAAGCCGTTGTGCTTTGTCAGTCCTGAAAAGGTGCTGAGGATGGAGTGAAAGCTCGGATTATCTCAAGTGCCTCTCAGACAAAAGCACAGCGGGTGGACATGGCCAAGAGGAGCTGGAGTAAAAATAAACAAAACTGACCTGGAGGATAAAGCTGCAACAAAAACAAAAACTCAGGAAACCTGAAAATGGCAAAAAGGAAGACGGGAGCAATCACAACACTTCTCCAGGTAGCATCCGAACCTGAATTGGAAGACGTTTGGTCACTCAAGTGTCTTTTTGACGCAATGGAACAGTTCCTGTCATATAAACACTTGTGGAAATTGAGGCAAAGAAGTTTTGTCATGTGACGCTGGTATGAAAGCACGTGAAAAAAAAACCTTCAGATAGCTACTGTTTAATAAATACACTTTTCCAAAGCAAGTAAAAAATTTCCGCATTGGAAATAATATCATCAACAGAACACCAGATAACTGAAATAAAAAGGAAAGCAACTGTGGCCTGAGCAGCTTTTGCAATATTACTAAAGATCTGTTGACTTTATCATTGTGCTGAAAACCCAATGACATCCTGGTAAATGAAATCATGCAATGCAGCTTGAGGTCACTTGATGGCAATTTCAAGCAAAATTAATGATTACGGAATATACTGTTGTGTGATTTTTGTTTCTCTTTCTGAATTGATGACAGGTGTACAGCAAACACGGGTGTGTAAATTTAATGGACTGTCTTTCAAGTTGAGGCCATCATAATGCATGTGCATTGTTCACTTTCCAGTCCTGCAGAACAATGGATTCTTCCATTTATCTGTAAAATTCCATGACTGGCAACTGCAATGTAGTCTGTCAACCCAACCATGATGTCTCATCACTTAGACCGTGTTCACAATTGATGGCATTAATGGTTGTTCTCATACTGGTCTGATCAAACTTAACACAGCCAGGCATTGGAACATCTGTCTTTACCATCTTAGTAACCACTTTCAATCAGCCTGAGCTACTGCAAGAGCTGTCACTGGCACTTAAACCAATTAGAATAGCAGCGTATGATATTCATCTTTAATCTAGTCTACAGCATTAAAAGAACAGTTTGAAAACACATCTTCCAACTAAAAGGCTTTCAAGTTTTTGTCTGTTGGCAAAGATTTCCCAATTCCCAGAAACAATATCCAGTTGGATCAAATCTACACCACAGCATTATTTATTAATTACATAAATGGAAGGACACACATTTTTTTTCAAGCAGATGTCCATTAATAATAAGAAGCACATACATTTACACTATTCTGTAATGGTTGAAGCATTTGATATGCCTTTAAAAGGAATGCTTTGGCTCAAACTAAACATTCAGGTTTCAGATCAACAGAAAGTGTTCTGGTGACTAAAACAGCCATCCTTATAGGGCATTCTTAATAAAGTCAGTTTTTTTAGTTTAACTGCATTGCACTCATTTAGATAAAATGTAGCAAAATAAAATGTCTCTCTTCCCCTTTTGTAAATAGTTCATCAGTCTGTGGTAGAAAACAGCTTTGTTCTTTGATTTGTTGACTTCTGGCTGTCGAAGGATTTTCACATCTGACTGACGTAAGTAGCTTGTGGCCTATGACCTTGGGGGTGTGCCTAGTTTACAGAATGGTACGGGTGGGCTTTTGCCAAATTGAAGTGCTGTGCATTGTACAAGGACAGAGCACAGGGCACAGGGCTGCAGGGCTTAAACACCAATGTCATTGCTGTCCTCTTGTAGGTAAATAGTCTTTTAAGATATCTTTCCATAAATGGTGTTGTTTACATGACCAGCCTCATTTTTACCTCCTTGTATGAAAGCCATCACTAAAAAAAAAAGCTGCAAAAAGAAAAATATGCACCTGTAGGTCATTTCATGCCAAGTTACTAAAATGGAAAGTAATGAAAATGAAAGGAATCTGCAAATTTCAGTGTGTTGGGAATTTTGCACAATTAACACGGGCAGTGCTGGTTCAGTGGTTAGCATTGCTGCCATACAGCACAGGGGTCTTGGGTTCAATTCCTGGGGTTCCATTTGCATGCAGTTTGGATGTTTGTCCCATGTTTGATTTTGGATTCCTTCAGATGGTCATTTCTACCCAGTGCAAAACCTGGTTTGTGTAAAATTGGCCCTGGTATGAGTGTGTGCCCTGTGAACTACCGACAGCCTGTCCTGGCCAGGATTGCACCCATTGCAAGATGGGATAAGCTCTGGCTCTCCTGCAACCCTGTATTGGATAAAGCAGTCTCACTTGTAGTATAGGCCTCACCTTTCTCATTCCAAGATCTTCTGATGCTCTCCCAATGGTTATTTCCAAACTAGAGCTTTGCTTTAAACTGTGAAACTATTAGATTTCACATCACTTACAAAAAATGTAAGCAAATTGCCCAGTGCACTAACTCACTCCATTCTCCAGACTCACAGCGGAAACACAGGAATCCTGGATCAGTGGCAGGAGCTTATCGAACAATGAAAACAGTGTGGACGTCATACAAAATCCTCACAACACAGGGCTGATTCAGGCTTAACAATGAGTAAGGAAGGAAAAATTGTGAGGAAAAGTCAGGACTAAAACTGGGAGGCATTTCAAGACATGGAGAACAAGAGCATTTAGACCTACCCATGTTCTTGAAGTTCACTCCTGGGATGTTCCAAGACAAAGCTAGAAGAGGTTTCTAGATGGATCATCTAATAATCAACCAATGCACACCAAATGAACCACTGCATTTCTAACCTTCTCGTATGTGCATTTAAAACTGGACTTAATGTTCTTGCAATTCTCAAATCAAATCATTAAACAGTACTCCATATGAAACCAAAGAAAGTGCAAAAAAATTTCAACTCCACTTTATTTTTTTCAGAAAAAAAGTTTAAAAATGAAAAAAACAGATTTCCTAGTGATGAGATCATGTTTTAGTAAAATGTGAAAAACTCAAGTTCCGAGTCTTTTACCACAGGAATGTAGAGAAGTGGCTGGAGCGGGGAAATGAAATACAGACGTGAGACATTACTTTATTCTTCACACATGTAAATGTTTCTAACTATTCAATTACACCACAGTATAACACCTTGGCTTAAACCAACTCCCAACACAATTGTAAATAAAATATAACTCACACCCAAAAAAGAAACAATTGTTATTTGACTTCCAAACAGAAACTTCACATTTTACAAGTGGTTATGGACCACTTTTTCACAGATAAAAAAAAATTACAATCACAGAAAGATTAGCCTCGTTTCCACAAGCAGATAATTTTCATGACATACAGTAGCATTACCATGATGTTTTTTCATCTTCTGCATACTGTATCAGAATTGACTATGCTCCACTAGTTTAAAGCTTTCTGAACAGACCCTTTCCTCAATTAAAGGATGCACATTGTTTCTATCGCCCCGTTTCCTTCAGCCAGGCACTTCCCAGAGGAAAGACAGTGAATCACTATGTGCACAGAGGTGTTTCCAGTGTAGGCTGTTTGTGTCCACTTCATGGAACTCACCACAACCCGATGAAATCTTTAAGAAGAAATACCTTTCTTTCCCCAAAACACATAAGTATAACCCTTTCCCCAACAATACTTTAGGGTCCATTTTATTAACCTTGTGAAACATTACCATTTCCAGAAATGCAAAATCTCTTTTACAGCCACGTAACTGTCGTGCCAGAGATTAAAGTCCTAGTCCTTAAACACTAAGCAGACACTTTGGGTGAACTACGCAGGTTAAGAAAAGCAAACTGCTTTATGTTGGGTGCAATTTACTTTTGTGCCGAGACAAAAGTATTAATTTCAACATTCACAATTTGCTTTTGGATTTAAGCTGTTTTTCAAATGAAAAAGGTTCATAGTCACATCCAGCTGAATATTTATCTTGCTTACATTTGCAATTAAGCTTTTGTGATTTGTCTATCCAGCAAATAGGAGATATATGGGCCCTACACTGGCCAGGCCAATGCACTCCATTACTGAAATGCTAGGCTAGTCTTCTCGGAGGTAGGCCTCGGGAACATCATCCTCTGAAAGGGCATCTCCTTTCCCAGCTTTCTCAAAGGCTCTGGTGGCTGCAGCTTGCGCCGCAGTTCTCTGGATCTCCTCCACCTTCACTTCAGCCAGCTGCTTCTCAGCCTCCGAAGAAAGCCGCTTCATTTCTTCTACCTGCGTCTGGGCCATGTTCAGATTGGTGCGTGCCGTGACAGAGGCCTGGTCTGCTCCTGAAAGACCAACCATAAACATGGCGCTTGAGCTCTGACAGCCACCCTGTCCTTCCCTTTACACAGTGGAACAAAAGAAAACAAACCACTGTGGCCTGTGTGAGTTCCACCTGTCAATGAGATGGATCGTTACAAATTAAGTGTGGGACCATTTACGTGCCAAGAAGACACGTAATACTTATTGGCAACAGAAAACCACTGTCACTTGGACAGTGCTATAATACGATATCAGTTTCAAAGAACCTTTAGCTGGAGAGAGATGTCTTTTAATTCTGCTGTCAACAGTTTCTGATACCTTAAGACAGCAACGTATTTTACAGACTACAAGACTATTTTAAAACTCGTTAATCCACTTTTTTGCTTAGAATTTGTTTTTATGTTGGAGCAAGGCTTCGTTTTCTTTTACTCTGTACAACCAAAATTGAAAAAAAGTTATTTAAAAAATGCTTAAGGAAAAAAAATCATAATGGGAATTTAGTAATCTGCAAAGGATTCTTTTTGTCTACAATGGAAAAAAACCCAACGTGCTTAATATAATGATTATATAATCAGTAATCTAAAAAAATAAGGAAGTACCATTATTTTTTAGAAGGGTTACTGTGTAAAACATGTAAGAGGAAACTCTCTACACTCTGTCAGTGATGTCACACTCAATTCAGCACTATTCAGACATCTGATCCTGAGTCTGAGTTCAGACGGGAAAAACGCCAACAGAAATCCTTATTGCTTATAGGTATAATAATAGAAGGAAAAATAACGTGGAAATGTAATTTCCATAAAATATCTCACTTTCATTTAGTTATATTTCATTGCTTTTAAATGGCTAAAATACATATTTTATGTATTTTAGCTGGGCAGAGCGGTGGCACTGTGGCTAAGGATCTGTGCCTGTGGCTGGAAGGTTGGTGGTTCAAATCCCACAGCTGGCAGGGGATTAACCCTTAACCCCAGCTGCTCCAAGGGCGCCATATAAATGGCTGACCCTGTCCTCTGACCCCCAGCTTCTCTCTCCGGTCTGTGGACAAATTCCTAATGCAAGAAATTGTATAAAGTTATCTTATCTTGTTTTTATTACCCCCCAGTTAACCAGTTCCACCTCCTGTTTTCAAAGATAAATCCCCACCCACCGAAGGTAAATATCATTGTAGTGAATGTGATTTCATTCTTGACTCCTAAGTTCCTGAATTTGAATCTGGCCATCTGAATGTTAACCCCCTTACAATGTTGATTGTTGCTCACTGTTTTTGAGTGTTTAGTTCGAGAGGGCTTATGGAAAAGAACAATTGAGACATCTATACATAGAGCACTGTTCCATACAGCCTGCACACTGTCACATTAAAGGAGTACCATTATGAAAACTCAAATCAAAGCACACCTGCATTATAGGCAGCCTCAGCAGCCAGCTCTGACAGGTTTATTGCATTCATCCAGTTTGATTCAAAGTGTCTGCATGTGTCCAACTTGTCGTTCATCTGCACAGAGGAGACAAAATGACAACCTGAGATTTTCTATCACATCGAGAGATAGAAATCAGCCATGGCTGAAGAAATGGGAGGCAAAAACTTTTTTTTGCCTTGTCAGTGGACAAAAAATCAAAACCATAGTTTATGACCTGCAAGAAATGAGGCACCTTTATTGTAAAATATAAATAATAAAATAATTTATTATTAATAATAATAACAAATAATAAATAATAATAATAACAATATCAATTCTCACTCCGCTTTTAGTGGATCACTGCGGAAGAGCTTAAAGAATTTCATTGCTTACTTCTCTTTGAATCAAGGTGTTTTTTTGCTTAGAAATCTGCCAACATAATTTATCTATTACAGCAGGACTCAGGGTCTCCCCAAAGATGACAGGGAATCAACTCAAGATTTGTATGAGGCCCAATGTACTACCGAACTTGCCTGTACACTCTGAATAAACACATTAAAAACTGTTTTTTTGGAAATTTTGAACACAGGAAGTAGTAATTTAACAATGTGGAATCCTTCTTAGCACATATTAAAGAATAGGCCAATGGGCTGGGCTTCTTCAAAACAAAGTGGTGAGAATATTTAGACTTGAAATTCAACTGCAAAGAGAATCTGTCGATGGACACCAGCAATTAATTCTTTACCCTCAGACGAGGCTGACAAAAAGGAACGCAAAGCCTACCTCCACACGAGCTCCAATTATAACCTGCCAGATGGCATCCTCCTCCGCAGGGGTGAGTTTACCAATTGAGTTCATGTAGCGCTTCTGCAGGGCAATCAGCGTGTGCACTGCCTGCAGAGACAGACAAGCCTGCGTCAACACCAGAGAGAGGGATTGCTCCATTAGCAGTACAGACTGCCCTGGGCTTTCAGGAATTCATTGCGGAGAACTACCAATAGAGAACAGCAGAAAAACACACTGCAAAGAATTGGCTCTTCCAAGTACCCCTAGCCCATTGATAACACATGGATGCGACACTTATTTCCACCTCTGTTGTTCTTTTAAATGCAACAGCTGTCTGCTTATTAAAACAAAACAGGATCAGTGGCCAACACAACAACTGACGTGACTGGACGTCAAATGTTTGCCAATTAACATTCCTTAGATTTCAGTGACATGAAATATGCAAATAGTTTTAGGTAAAGTACAGCACAAACCAATTCACTAATTTGGAATGTTAAGCTTCAAACAACACATTAACATCTAATTCCTGATCATAATAAATAGATTTGAATGTTACTTTATGCTGTAATCTTGCATCTTTAACAGGTATTACAAAATTGAACAGATGTCTTATTTATGGATGATGACTGCTCTTTCTGACTATATTATGCTTGATTCGTCTACCAGTACAATCTTGTCAAGCTTTACGCTCCCTGAAAGTGCTATCGTCGGGAGGATTAAAGCCTCATTACACTCCTGGAGGAGTTCAGCTGCATTCACATTTAAAGCTAAGCTAAGATAAACCACAACAAAAGGAGGCGGACGCCATCCAGTCGGCTTCCCGAGAGATATAAAGTTCTAAGAAAACTATCCAGGAATCATCACTGCAGATAATGAGTTTTCACACACCAGTCCCAAACCACAGTCATTATGTCTTAACGACACAGGAAAGGTGTGCGTTGTAGGTGGATGCATACATTATTGCAATACATATTTATAAATCTTCTTTTAAAATAACAATTAAGCATCCCTTTGTGTTTAAATTATTAGGCCTCAAATAAGAAATAGTGCAATGAGAATGCAGTGATGCTATGGAGCACATAGCAGTTAAATAATAATAACAAATATCAATCAGCCCTGGGACTTGCCTTACTATGAGCAAATTAAGTTAGATAATACAACTTCCCCACTTGTCAGGAAACATCAAGAGAGATTATGTGATGTAATTAATTTTCTGTGAACAATTCTGCTTTTTATAAATAGGCAATAGGTTACAAAGAGTGTGCTAAAAGTAATGCATTCATACATGTATATTATATTTTAATATATGTGTATTTGGAGTACGTTTCTGAGCTCAAAGCAATGCATCCAATGTTCCCCACTAAAGTACTCACAACTGTCAACTGACGCTCAAAATGTTCACACACACAAATCCACATAAGGTAAGCTGTGTCATAAAATACCTCTGTATCGACCTCTGTAGATAAAGCCACATTTAAAATAATACTAAAAGAGAATCTTTGCCCCCTCAAATAACATCTAAATAAAAGAAAGAGTGCCAAAATCCACTTGGCAGATATACAAAGGGAAATGTAATACTTCTACAGATATGGAATAATGCAGCTCTTTAGTCTACATTAGATTACACTAAAGTCCCTTCAGTGCCCCATACCTGGTTTTGTTAATGAGGAATCCGAATAGTGAAGACTGTCTGTAGTATCAGGGTATTCACTCACCTGTCCTTCTCTCCTACCTCCCTCTCTGCTACTCTGTTAATCCTCTTTTACAGTCTGTCTTTTAAGTACACAACTGGTCACATGAATTTGGCTGGTCAGACCTGGGAAATTTCAGCCTCAGAAGCTGTCAGACATTTGGGGTCTCAACTCAATAGGATACTGCTTGTGTACAAAAAGGAGTGGCAGACCCTTACAAAGGACAGGCTCAGTGTCCACAGCCTGGCCAAAAAAAACTGGGCAACACGGGTAGACCTGGTAATCCAGGGAAGACAGGCCGTACTCCCTCTGTCAACAAGGAGAGGCAGAGACAGGGACACTTTCTGCTACACTGCAGTACAGACTGTGGGATTAGAGAAACATTCTTCCCTAAAACAACAAATCCAGTTCCAGACTGACCAGAAATCAGAACATCATACTGGGGGAGGGGGAGGACAGCCTGGGATATCCTGTCATAGCCTGAGAAACAGACAGCGAGCTTTTCAAATATTTGTATTGTTCTTAAATGTTTGTAAATGTTTTGCTAATTGTTAGTGCTCAATCATGCCAATAAGGCTCTATGAATTTTATCCTAATCAGATCACATCCAGCTCTGAAAAGATCTTATCCCCTTCTGTCAAGCAATTGAGACAACATTGATGCCAGAACAGATCTCTGTCTCTTGATAAGGGGCGACAGAAAAATTACCTAAAATGCAAAGTTATAAATAACACACAACAGAAACAGTCAATTACTGTATTTCTTCAATTACATTATTTACATACGTGTACAGAAATTGACTAGAATTTATTGAATTTTGCATTATTGTAAAACTGAAAAATACTTCATATGTAATGTTATTTTTGGCCAATTTACTTCTTCTTAAGCACCGACTGTGTCTGGGGAGTTAATTCAACCACAAGGCACTCTTATTTTGAAAAATGGCAAAGTTCACACTTACGTAATAATGTTTTAGGGCAATCAAGGCTCTTTTGATCCATCAAGAACCTTGTGCTCTCTATCTATGCCAACACAAATTAAACCCAAGACGCTGATGAAATCCCCACATACCCATAAATACATATCCTTCCTTGCTTGCTTTTTGCTTTAAAAATCCTAGAAATAAAACAATGAAATTAATAACTTAGGGCAACAGAACACAAATTGCAGATTACATCCAAGGTCTGTATGGAAAAAGTGAAAAACTTTCCTTATTTGCTGCATCAACATACAGAGGAGTAAATGAGGACAAATGTCACAGACTGGCCATTGTAAAACATTGGATAATAATGATTGATGATACATGGCAGATTTAATCTACTATGTAATAACTGGTTATTCACAGGTTGTCCCAAGAGGACTAATCGGTTTCTGTCTGGAAGTGAGATGTTCTAGTGGTGACAGTGTAAATGCTATCAAACTAGAGCCACAGAGGCCTCAGAGCTGCCCAGCATCTACCAATGTGTTTGACACGTCTGTGACAGGACTTGATTTTGCAACACTCTCCACATTTTACAGCATAAATGAGTTGATTCATGCTGACGGAAAAGGAATTTTAAACATCCTTTGTTCTGAGCTATGAAGGATTGTGCAACATTTAAATTTGAAATGATTTAAATGGACAGATAAAATTGACATCCAGAAGGCTATCCAGAAGTTACAGAATTTCTGTTTCTGGAGAGAGATGTAAACCGCTGGCTAACACAACATTTTAGCATTTAAGTAGAACATTCAAAAGTTAATTTAAACAGTTACAGCTTAGGAAAGAATGTAGACAACTTTCAGGGCTGAGATATAACAGCAATGTAACAGTCTCATAGTCTGATTTTGTTTGATCTCTGAAGCTCAATAAGGCTCAATAAGACTAATGTACTTAGTCATTACTGGAGACCTTACTGAGACCTTTATGGAGAATGTGGTCGTTGCTGTGTAAGTAGTGTTGGTAGACCAGTAGGTGGCCTTTTTCCCACTGGACCAAAAGTTCCAGACCATTGCCCCACTTTGGTGACTCAGGACACTGCTGTTGGAGGAACTGGAAATCCTCTCTGGGCTTGAACAATCCCAGCCTGTTCAGAGGAAGGATATACATGTCTATGCACAGCCTTGCTCTCCCTAGGAAGAGGAAAGCTGAGGAAAAGCAAAACGTAATGGAATGGAAACCACAATGAACAGCACCTGAAAACACTGAGGTGCAGAGTGAGGGATTGTGATTCTTTTGTCAAGACATGGGCAGGAGATACAAGGACAACACTATATAGATCAGTAAACGAACAATGTCTTTCTATTCAGATTACAGCATTATCTACCGTTATCTGCAAGGCAACCAGCAGATGACTTATGTCCTGGTTATCTTGGAGAGCTACTTTAAGAAAAACATGCAATGAATTCTTGCAAATCTATGCTCTTATGCCAGATTTTTGATGACCAAGGATGTAAAAATTCCCAGACATACAGTAAATGTCCAAATATTTAGTTAAATCACTGCAGCATTGCTTTGTATTTTATCAAAAGCATTACTGGTACATATTTATACTTTGTTTTATAACTGATTATTTGAGATGTTTGTATTTCTTAAGATTTTTCTATGCCCTGACATTACGAATGCAAAGCACCCTAAAAAGTTCAGCGAACCAAGACGCACAAGCATACTGTTGCTAGTAGTCTCTGCAGTATTAGATACACTTATTTATCATATGTACAGTATTTAATGTAACTATATGAAGTATTATACTGTACATTTTGGTTTGTGTTCCTTTCATCTTCATGTGTACTTAACATGCTGGATATGCTATCTTGTGTTTTTAAAATGTTTCAAAGTTAAAATATATTCAAGTGCTCACCTTAATGGGTTATTACAGTAATCATTCAGTATATACACAGACAACATGATTTTACACTACTGCAGACTGATGTCATTGTGTTATGGTTTTATTATAGTTTAAAACACATTGATCCTTACAGAGAATGTGCGATACTTAACTCCCTCCAGGGAACATTTATGTCCTCCTGGTCCCCATTAACCCCATTTCCATTATAATCAGTTCTGAATTTATCGGAAGGACAAGCACCAAAGAGTTTGCTATCAACAGCAAGAAGTTAAGACATAAGGCCAGTACAGTCCAGCAGTTTCAGTTCTGTATCTGACGTGTAAATGAGGCATCTGGTATATGTGTGTGGTGGTATATGTGAACTGGAAAAAGAAAACTTCAATGAAGAAAGTAATACAGAAAATGTGCAGAAATGCTAATGTGATTTAACTCTTTCTGGCTTGTCAGGACATTAATCTGGGCTTCTGGTCTGGTTAGTATTATGAACTCATGTCTAAAGACATTTGACTGCAGAATGGAGTTGAACACAGGCCAGAGTTCATCTAAAAGAGCCAAATGTTAACTGTCTGCCACCAAATCAAATGAACGTTGGCCACAGTCAAGGTGCACACTCTGCAAAGCTGTCTTTTGTGAGAATAAAAAATGGAATTGCTTCTTTTGAGTTTCTCCACACAGAAATGAAATGAAGAGTTTTTCACTACACTTGGAATTTGTACATTTGAAACTGAATCATCATTCAGTCCTTTATGATATATCGCATTAAACCTTGTATTAAAAGAATTTGACAACCTAATAACATCACATGGGTGCAAAAAGATCTCTGCCTGGACTTTTAACTGCAGCTGCCGGTAAATACTGATCTCCAACAACAAGAATCTGAGTTAGTTCTCTATCAATGTCATCATTCCTACAATATATGAGCGAGTGTTACTTCTCATTACCCAAAAACAAAAATTCAGGCAAGAATGGCTTGAGGTAACAGACAAAAGAACTGCCTCTTACTATGTTTCTTGAAGAACCATTTAATGGTTTCTGAAAGTTAACATCTGACAGAAACTAAAAAACTGCTATACAGTGTAATGTGGAGAAAGTCAAATACTAGCTTTCACAATTCATTTCCACTCAGAACACTGTGTCAAAAACTGTTAATTATAAATAGAATTAATCATTAATGACTAGAGCACTTCAATAACAAGTTCAGTTAAAATACTCTGGCAGAAAAGATGAGGGTGCATGATGTGCATGATGGGATTGCCTTTGGGAGGGATTCACTCGCTCTCTCACTGCACATAA